TTCAACTTCAACATATGAATGATTCATATTTGGTTTAATTACCATCAAATGTAAGTACGTATATTCTATTAAGTATCAGGCATATTTGAATGCATGAATAATTTTAAGTTGGCTGGATTAAAATGAGGTTTTAGTTCAGATTGCACCATATACTGTCACATAGTATGTCATAATAATGAGAGAGCCGTTCACATAATGATGAAATACTATGACATAAATGGGCCTTATGTCAAAATAATGACTTTATATTTCATAATAATGGGAACAATTATGATTTAAGTTCTCAGATTCATGACTCACTAGCTATAATGATGAGAGATTAAGTCCTAACTTTGAGGAAATTGTTCGCTCCAGAAGCCAACGAACAAGCTTCAGAGCCAGCTTGATGTCAGCGTCGCCAGCGGGAAACGGGTCACCGAAACCTGAGCTGCTGTGGAGAACTAAGCACTTTGGTGGGCAGACTCTAAGATGATGTGTTTGTGGCCATGAGCTTCAGAGAACCGTGTTCTAAGTCACCACAGAACTTTGATCTTTGGTGCTGCTGCTCGTAGCACTCATTTCTGCAGTACGTCATGGAGGTGTGGACGTAAACGGAGAGTCCCGATGCAAGTAAACAAATAAAAGGTTCTGAACTGAAATAAAAATGTTAAAGAAAGTACATGCATTTTGTCTTAGTTTTTAAATGTTTTTTTTACTATTGTTGTTTACTGAAGAACATCACATGGAGTACCATAATTTTCGAAACTATTGAGCGCACCTGAATATAAGCCACACCCACTAACTTTAAAAAGAAAAGCAAATTTGTACATAAGCCGCAGGTGTCCACATAGTAACATGAGATATTTACACAGAAAGATGGTACACAGAAGTATTTCTTTAAACTTTTAATTAACTATGTACCAGTAACATACACAAATACGTAAATGCTTTTTTTCCGAACAGTGCCTGTAGCCTACCAGGAAAAGTCATTGATCGCTATCTTCATCTTCCTCCTGCACACTAAAACCACTAAAGTCGTCTTCTTCAGTGTCGGAATTGAACAGCCTCAGAATTACTTCGTCAATTCCTCAGTCTCTCTTTTGTTGTTGCAAATTTGTAAAAATTGTAAAAACCCATAAATTAGTCACATCATTGTTTAAGCAGCAGTGTTCAAGGCGTGTGAAAAAAGTAGCGGCTGATAGTTCGGAAATTACGGTAGCTACCTTGAATGATTTAAGTTAAATTCACTCAAGTTTTATTTACACTTAGATAGTGCTTGATTTTTAATCCAACCTGTTTCCTCATTTTTTAAATAATTCAGTTTATTACTCACAATTTTCGGGAAATGGAATTAGGTTAAGTTCAACGCAAGACTGTGTTTAGGAGGAACTAGCGTTGACCCAAATATCATGAAAACCACAGCCTCCAGTGACACACAATTTATAAGGTACAGTCAGTGTCTGTTCATGCAGTGCAGCCCAGTATACTTAGAAATGACATGCATACTGGTCAGTTCTGCACTTCATGCTGTACATACAGTACCAATGCAGAAAGCTGTGCATTTAGGGACACAAGAAGAAAAAATGTGTGGAGATCAAAGTGATGAAGGAGTTCGTGTGAAATTATACATCACAGATCTGCAATGAATGTTTTCCTCTTGATTAACTGTGACTATGATCTTTTCCTGACCTGAAACCTCGACTATGAGTTGTCTCAGTCTCTCAAGGTTTTGTAGGTGACATTACGATTCACTGGAGGATTTCAAAGGGACTGACTCACACGCACTAAGATGGATGTGGTGGACTGGCTGCAGATAATACATAGAATTACAACACAGGAAGTTAGATTTCAGTCTTCTTCACTGATATATATCAATGCAATATTAATGTTCAAACTCTTGCATGTTGCACCTCTAACTAAGGCTTTCTTTGCCATTGCCACAATCTTTCCCTGACCTTTAACAGTTGCCGTAAGCAAATATGTTTAAAAACATCATAGAATCATCTAATAATGCCTTTCTTGTTTTGGAGTGGCAGAAC